TGTATGGATTGATCATCACTGGATTGTTCTGAACTAGATTCCCCTTTAACTGATCTCTGTTTTTTCCGCTTTTTCTCATTTTTTGATGTTGCTATCTTCCAACCTTCATTGTCACTATTTCCCTCTTCCATCCCACAAGAATCGCTTCCTGTTTCCTCACTACTCACGGCCCAGGACATCTCTCCACAAGCAGCTTCAAAACACGCGCCATGCACCAAACGACCATCCACATGCCTCAAAAATTATTATTATTATTATTATTATTATTATTATTATTATTATTATTATTATTATTATTATTATTATTATTATTATTATTATTATGCTTTTTAATAATCATTTTCATAAATCATTAACCATAATTTGTGTATATATATTAGAAATAAAAGATATTATTTATTCAATAAAAGCTACAGACGATGTAGAAAAGAGCAGTCAGAAAAGTAATTTTCCAAAATTAAGGATAAACGAAAGAAAATATTATTTAAAGCAGTGTCTATTGGGTTACAAATCTAGATTAAACTAATTTAACACAGTTATGACAAATATTTAGAACATGAACAAGTTATTAGGATTTCTTCTTGATAAAAAAAAAAAAGCATGGATAACGTTATAAAGGAATGATTCATATATATGTTTAGCTCTGTGGAAAGGCAGGACTAATTAAAAAAGAAACAGATTTTATCCGATGTTGTTCCAACAAAAAGTAAATGACTGCAGTTTGTTATTGAATTAAATTAGAATTTAATATAGCTTCAGAATAATTGTAGCACCTTTGTCAAAAGACGTGAAATATTTCAGTACATATAATAAAAGGTATTGTGTACCTATGTAACTTATCGGTTCATATTATAGAAGGGCAATATATTTCTAAGGGGTTTTATTTTGGGTTGATTGACCGAATGTGTAATGTGCATTTACGCCGATTGGCCAGTAGGTGGCGATACGAGGTGAGACGTCTAACTGAGTTGAAAATGAAAAAACAACAACAACAAAAAAAAAATTCAAAGTGACTTAAGGATTGACAGAAATTAATTTTTTTTTAAAGAGAGGTGTTTTTTTAAGACTAAGAGACGATCTAAAAAACTGATTTTTGAGGAAACAATAGATTGCTCAGTATTTTCTATGGTACTTGTTGACTGAAAGCAGTTCTAAGGATTAATGTGGAAAATATAATAAATATAAGCTCATGGGTTTTACATTACATCTGTTTATTATCTTCCGTTCACAATGTTTTTCTAAGGTTTTTGTTTTCAGATTTAAGCGATGAAATTTACTGCAAAATTGAACTAATCTTTGACTTTGGACAGAATTAGTCATTTAGAATATGTGCATATTGTTTCTAGTTTAGTTTAGGGTTATGACCTATTATAGGTTGCAATATTTTCACACAAAAAAAAACAAAAAAAACCAGCTTCTTTTATTTTGTTTCTTTTGAGCTTGACATTTTTTGAAAAATTAAGAGACAACTATGATTAGTATGGAACTAATGAAAGTAGAAACTCTACACTTGTTCAATGAAATAAAAACAGAGGCCTCCTCAAATAAAGAGGCTTTGTATTGCAGGCGGCACAAAGAAGGACTCACCGAGAGCAAGATTCCTGTATGAACCAATTCTCTTATTTAGATCTTCCACTTTCAAAGAATCATTAAATAAGCATCTCTGCCTACAGGCTGTCTAACTATTCAAAACAGATGGAGTTTTGACATACTTCATCTCACTATAGTATTCCTGAGAAGACAGACAAGAAAGAAGAGAGGTGAATAGTAAATAGTTAGATTTACTGTGCTGCATTTACTTGAGTCATTTTTCAAAGAAAAATGTACAATCGGGAATAGTTTTATTTTACTGTACCTTTACTTTTTCATGAGCAATATTTTTGTGATACATTGCTACTCCTGCTTAGTAACATTTCTGACTAATCTGCCCACTGTAAGTAGCTTGAGCTATTCAGAGATCAGGTTAATGTACAGTTAACAATAGATATTATCTATAGAAGTGTTACTTTGTCCTATACATTACTCAATGTGAGGCAAAAAATAATTAGAAGTTATTTTGTACAAATTTTTTTCATTTGTATCTTTTTAGTCTTTCAATTGACTGTTGAACTGTTAAACTCTCAACTGGACTCTGCATCAGATTGTAAACATCACTTTACACCTCCAACTTGGCAGAAACTTTTATATTTCTTTTAAATAGAACACAACTCACTTCTATACTGCATTTTGCAGCATATTTATTTGTAATTTTACATATCTGTTTTGCTTATATTTTATGGGGTGATTCTGTGCCTTATTTTTCTTTGTAATTGTATTTTTATATAGTAATATTTGATCTGTTTGTACTGAAACTGATTTAATGCTAAATATATGACATTCAGTTTGACTGAGAGAGAGATGCAGGCTGAAACCTAGAGATTAGAACAGAGTGCTAAAATGTTGCTAATGTACGATGTTTGAAATAAGAAAAAAAAATCTCAGTTCTGTGCTTTACTTTGCTATTATATGTTTTCTATATTCATATTCATATCTATATTTCTATTCATAGTCATGTCTTTTGTATTTTGTTTACGGATAGCTTAGGTAGTAGTAGTTACCTAACCTATTCCTAGTTTAGGAGTTGGAATAATAACATGGAAGTATAAAGGTTGTGTAGCTTTTGTCACGGCTCGTTACGTGTGATTTGAATTCAAAAAGATGAATAATAATAATAAAAAAAATGGCAAACATGTTTTTGAAACGTGTTTTTTCTTTACCATTTTAATCATTGGCATATTAACCATAAAATGTCAACAAACATACAGAAAAAGGTTATTCACATCATTATAAGATGTTAAACAGAATTCATGCTCTTTTTAAAACTATTTTTAGGGAAAGCTATTGTTCTCTGACAGTCCCTTTTATGTAATTAGAAAAAAGAACAACTGGTTGATCTATTTAACATATATTATGCAGAACTATAATTGATTATTTTAGACAGCATGGATACATTTATGTGTTCATATATCTGTAAACAAAGGCAGAAAATCTTGTCCGTCTTCAGTACTTTATCTGGAACGTACGTAAATTGTGCTCCTTTATTTTTCTGTTGGTACAGTGAGATTAGTGAGGTTGACCCTAAACTGGTTCTGGAGCCTATCAGTTTTCAGCTACACTTCATTGTTCCCTACCTGGTCGCACCTTTGAAAAGTTGCTGTTTGAGCTTCTCTGTGACTATTTAGCAGTCTGAATCAGGGTGTGACACTTTCCAAGTAGGCTGCCAGAAGCTACTCAAGTATTCCCGAACACCAGCCTATAGATTACTGATAAAAAAAAGGGTAACACTCAGCAGACGTGATGTTTTTTACATTTAAGCTGTTTGGCCATAGTTTAAAACAATACCAATACAGTCTAATGACATAATAATAAGTCTAGACTAAAATGATTTAATGTTTGAATATAAAAGTGTGATGTTGAGTTTTCAGTGCAACTCAGGATAGTTCCTTCAGCAAACAAGAAACCACAGTGCAAAAGAATGATCTAAAAATTTTTAAAATTCTCTTAAAATGAGTGTATTTCCCTTAATTTGAATAGGTAAAAAAGATGATCTGCCAATGGAATGATTATTTTTACCCTTCGAATAAGATAATTAGATATTATGCACTTGAAATAAGAGGCCGAAGTTGTTTTCTATTCTTTTAAATGTAAATTGTCACGTTCCATTGGCAAAGTGTCTCTCTAACCTACTCAATTCAATAAGAAATGCTCTTATTTTAAGAAAATTTGACTCACTTAGATTTCAGTTTTTTGCAGTGCATGGTTCAACCCATTCATTTCCTCTGAAACCTGCACTATGAGGCAACAATCACTTGCCATCCTAAAGCTGAGCGACCAAAGAAATTCATGCATTCTTCCAAATTTGTGTGAAACATGGAGCTGGGACACGTCTATATGCAGACGCAGTCTTGCAAAGACACACAGGAAAATTTTAAAATGTGAGGCTGCCAAACCTCCCAAAACCTTTTATTGACTGGTCATTAGTTAGAGAGTTTGCAACACAGCTTGGTCTGCAACCACTTAGATGGATGAAAAGATTGTTGCTATGGTTGACTTTCCTACATTAAATGATTTCCTTCAGTTTTAGTAAAACATTGCTGCCTTGTCTCTCTGTATTTAAAAGGTCAAAATTCCTCCTATTTCCTAACTGATCATAAGACTTGGAGACAGGTGACATGGAAGTGAGATTTGCAACAGCTTACAATGCTGTCGCATCCAGTGTGTTGGGTTTCAAGGAGATGGCAATGACAGCCACCTGTTGCTGTTTGTTAACCCCAGTGTGTTGAACTCATTACTAGAAAATCCTCAAAACATGTCGACAGGAAGAGAAATGCCCTAAACTGGTTCTAGTGGAAAAAGGGGATCTTTCTTAAAACAAGCAGCTAAAGTTAAAGCTTTCCATTAACTTTTTTTAATTACCCAGTGTCATGGTCTTGGTTCTGTTGTTCTTTACTTTGCTCCTTGTTTTCTAGTTTTATTGGTTTAATTCCAGTTTTGTTGTAATTTCTAGATTTATGTTAATTCTCATGTGTTTCTGTTGTCCTCTGTTGCCCTCTTGTGTGTGTGTTCCTTTCTCCTTGGCTCCCTCGTTGTCTCCTCTCACACCTGCTCCTTGTCAGCTCGTTAGCCCTCCCTTTGTTCCTGTCAGCTATATATGCTCTCACTCTGCTCTCACTCTTTGTTGGTTCCTTGTCTTTGCTGTCCTCCCATGCTGTTGTCCACCTACCTCGTCTCTCCCTGGCTCCTCGTGTTTTGGTTTCCCCATATGTCTCCGTAGTTCTGGTTTGCTTTTGATTATTAGTTGGATTTTTGCATTCGTGCCTTTGTTTACTGTTTTGCCCCATTAAACTGCTAGAAATCTCCTCAGCCTCTCTGCCTCTGCATTTGGGTCCTCCAAACCACAACCAAACCCTGACACCCAGTTCTTTTCATTGGCAGTTCAAGAAACAAAGCAGGAGTCAGTCTTAAATTTAAGCAAAAGCCTAATTTATTTTAAGTGCATATAAAGTGGTACAGAGCTCTATTCATTCTGTAGCAAGAGCATCATAGTAAATAATACACATTTATCTTTTTTGGCTCACATACCCAGTAAAAAAGGCTGCACTTAAACACCGATGGAGATTTAATTGGTCACAATAACATGCTGTGAACAGGACAGCATCTACACGCACAAACACTGGAGTGTACAAACATGTGAGAGTGTTGGTCCAGGACTTTATTTAAGTGCCAAAGATTGACCTGTTTTCAACTTAAAGAAGATTGTGTGTATACATACAGACATTACATGAACTACACTGATGCTGATGCTCAGAATAAAAAGTGAATTTCTAACATCAGTGCAAACACAGCTAGTAACCAATTAATAACTAATAGGTGTTTAAACAGGAGTAATAATAAAAAATCAATTCTAAAAATATCTATTTTGACTTAATGTCCTCATAGCAATAAAAAAGACGTGAGAAAAATAGATCTTAGTGTACATCAACCTAATCCTGTGATACAAACAGGCTGAATATAGGAAAATGTCTCCCTTCTGGAATATAGTTTACATATAACAGTACAGCAAGTGTGCATAAGACACCCTATTTGTAAGCATCTATGAGTTACCGTAACATTTTTTGTTTCAACTAAAAGTGAATGGTTAATTGTTCTTCACTGCAGAGCTCTATGGATATATGATTCACAGAATAGACATAATGATTATAAAAGGACATGTTTAAGATTAAATCAGTTCATTCTCTCCCATGTATTTCATTATTGTAACCCATGAGAACAAAGATGATTTAAACCCAGAAGATTTTTTTTATCAAAGAGTTCATAATTGTAAGGCACACCTCTGAGAACTTGCATCTAAGTAGGTGGGAGAACCTTTGTAAGAATGAAAATGTGACCCTTGGATGTGTTTGAACACAAAGGATAATAATGGGTGACTGTTTTATTTTAATGTTGCGATCTTTGAAGCTGAGATTTTGATGATCTCAGCTGGAGAAATGATGGATACTAATGCACATCTGTAAGGAAGGGTATTTCTTAGTAATTTACTTCAGATGTTGGTGTGTTGGGATCGTTCTGTTGAAGCATCTCCATGACCTGTTGAGAAATAAGCATCGGGTGTTATTCAGCTATCTCGTGCCCTTTTTTTTTTTTTTTTTTTTAAATAAGAGCATTATTTCTTGAATTGAGGAGGTAAGTGAGAGACTTTGCCAGTGGAACAAGATAATTTATATTTAAAATAAGAAAAATCATTTGCATAGTCTTATTTGAAGTGCATATTATCTAATGTTCTTTTTTTAAGAGTAAAAAAAATAATTTCATTGGCAAACTATTTTATTTACTGCTCAAATTGAGAGTTAATGAGTCTTAATTTAAAAATGTTGACTTACTTCTTGATCGTTTTTGCAGTGTTGTAGCAGTATGGCAGGTGAATCCAGAAATGGGCTTTTTCCCTCCCTGTCAGCATCATGTTCTCTGGCATAAATCCAGATTAATTAGTAGCCAGTCTTTTTTATTAAATAGCGCTGGGTGATAAGCTGCACTAAATGCATGTTTGATCCCAAACATCTTTTCCAGTTCTCAAATTTCTCAATGGAGAAATGAGTACCATTTATTATTTTTCATATGGGTTCTTTTATTAACCATTTAATGACCTCTTTCCTTTTCTATTACTTTGTCTAGGATGGTTTATGTGAAGGAGCTGCTCTATCCTGTAATAATTTTTTTTTATAGCTTATCATTCGCTAATTTCTGTACAAGTAGTTTATATACAATCTAACCTACTGCTGTTTTGCTTTTCTTGGCATGTAATATATGGAGTATGGATCACATATGTGAATTTGTTATTAGTCAGACTTTATGAAAATGTATTTACCTGAAGGTGTCAGATTGGCACTGGAGCTGCAGCATTTGACAACTGTGATTCTGTCTCATCATGGGACTAAGTGCAGCCCCTTGATATTAAAACAACTGTTAAAGTAAAACTGCAAAGGTAAAATCTCAATTGGGCCACTAAACATTTATGCATACATCATCATAGGAAATTGTTTCTATATTATGTCTTCAGTAGGGGCCATACTGTCTAGAACCACCTCTGGCAGATACATTTCTCAGTTTCTGCTGCACACTAATCATCTTGCTGATATCCATGTGCTTGGCCATTAATTGATCCGTTGAATGTGAGACTGATTCTGTAATGCTTCACTTATTGTGGCAACACACTTTACATCTAAGGATACCTCAACATTTTCCAATTTTGACACTTTTCTGTCTGTAAAGTGCTGTATAGAGGGCAGTTTTTAAATCCACAAATGCTTTTTCAGTTTCTGTTTTCCATTTTAGGCAGAGATTGATAATTACTAGTTACACTTTCTCAATTGTGAAATAAAGAGATTTGGAATAAACATTGACTGAATTTATCAATATTTTCCAAGTGTCTATTGTAAATGAGACCTCTTTGCTGGCAGCAAATCAGCTGGTTCACTAGTTAGATAATCTGGAAAGGTGCTGGCCTGCATTCTGTCATTTAACAAACTACCTGGAGCTAAGCAACAGTTGTTTTAGAAACACCAATGCTTGATTTCAATGCAGAAAATAACAGGAACTTTAAAGGCACTAAAGCATTTTCTGGCATTACATTGAAATCATTGCAAACCTTAAAGGAATAGTACACCCAAAACATGATTAGCCTTCATTTTCTACTCACCCCCATGCTGAACAACACCCTGGAGTACTTTTTTGATATCTCAAATGCATCTGGAGATCTGGGAGGCTTCTTGCTGTCTGCTGACATTCAAATAATGGAGGTCTATGGTGCCCGAGGCAGAAAGGTCCATAAAAGTCCACAAAAAACGTGTCAATATTCCTCCATACTGCTCGTCCAATATATTCCAAGTGTCCTGAGTGGGTAGCGTCCATAATTTACTCGAAACGAAGTCATTTAGAATGTTTTTAGAGCATAAACAGTAGTGTATAGGATTTCCTAAAAGCGCGTTCACGAGTCTACGGAAACCGCGGCAGACCAAACCAGACGAAAGTGCGCATTCAGCTCGGCAAAGAACTCATGCTCTTCCTCAACACTGAAGTCCTCAGACATTTTTCTTTCGTTGTTTCTTTCTTTGCACAGGTAAACAGCACATTTCTTCTTCTACGCTTGCATTATTGGCAGAGCAGACGCTGAATGCGCACTTTCGTCTGGTTTGGTCTGCCGCGGTTTCCGTAGACTCGTGAACGCGCTTTTAGGAAATCCTATACACTACTGTTTATGCTCTAAAAACATTCTAAATGACTACCCACTCAGGACACTTGGAATACATTGGACGAGCAGTATGGAGGAATATTGACACGTTTTTTGTGGACTTTTATGGACCTTTCTGCCTCGGACACCATAGACCTCCATTATTTGAATGTCAGCAGACAGCAAGAAGCCTCCCAGATCTCCAGATGCATTTGAGATATCAAAAAAGTACTCCAGATCGTTGTTCAGCATGGGGGTGAGTAGAAAATGAAGGCTAATCATGTTTTGGGTGTACTATTCCTTTAACCGCAGTTACCAGACCATTTCTTGTCTGGTGACTCTACATTAACAAACCATCACACACTTTAGGATAGAAACAATGCATTAATTAATGAGTTAACACTCCAACTGTAAATTCAAGCCTCTTTCTCTAATCCAGTAGGAGACAGGTTCACTTCTGTCTCCTACTGGATCTATTTAATAAAGAAGATGGACTGTGGTGGTTTAGGTAGGATTTTAATTTTTCTCTGCCTGGTAGAACTCTCAGAAGAGATATAGCTCTATGACATTGGTATATTTTAGATTACATGTACACAAAGTCCACCTAAGTTGGATGATCTGCTGGATGTTGTGTTAAGAGTGTGACATTACTCACGTCTTAGGCTTGGAGGGGTCACCACATGCTTTAAGGGCACAAAAAGGAGAGGGGCAAAAGGGAGATGAGAGAGGTCAAAATAAGTGATAAAAAACAGATTTGTAATAAGTTTTTACAGGGGACAGAGGGGCAGAGGCGAACAGGATGTAGAAAACAACAAGTAGAGGACAGAGAGCCAAGGCAAAGCAAAGTTTATCATAGGATATTCAATGATAAACAACAACAAAAACATTACAGCAACATGAGAGAGCACTATGAGCCGTGGGGCAGCAGGGCAGTGAGGATACTAGGCTCTGAATATGAGAAGGAGAATGAGGAAGAGATAGAGCAACAGGGATCCTTCATCCTTTCTGTACATTCATAAAGTGGGAGCTTTTGGTGAACAAAACGACCCTGCTCCAGACAGAAAAATGAGAAACTCGCCATCTTGCACATATCCAGGACCGGGTAAAGGGGGCGACGGTCCCAGCAGAGATGCTTAGTATTCTCTCTTCCCTGGCACCTCCTCCAACTCCTCTGGGGGAAGTCTGCTGCGTTCCAGAGCCAACCAAGAGTGCCCAGCCAAATCTAATTTCTGCTGCTTGCATCGTGGATCTCGTTCTTTCTGTCATGATCCAGATTAGACTGTAGGTGAGGGTAGGAATGTAGACCGAACTTGATCTTGACCTTAGCTCTCTCTTCACTACAACATAACAGTGCAGAGTCTGCATTACAAAAGCAACAACACTGATCCCATGCTATTCTCCCCCCTACTTGTGAACAGAACCCCAAAACATGAAATCCTGCATTTTTGGCAGTAACTCTCCTGTGACCTGAAGAGGGGAAGCCATCTTTTCCTGGTTGAGAACCATAAGCCCCATCTACACTACCCTTTTGAACCTGTGCCAAGATCGGTCCGAACACGGTAACCCAGATAACTGCTGAGTTTAAATGGCACACAAAACTGAATCGGACTGTGCCAGACACAACCAAACTGCGCTAAACTGGTACTAGTTCATCAGCAGGGCTCAGCGTGGTTCCGCTCTGGCATGGTTCTCAAATAACAAAGAAAGCATGAGAAGACTGCATCATCTCCTTACAGTCAGCCTCTGTAATCATGACATTTTCATTCATTCCTAAAAATGCAAGCTTCCCTATCATGCCACATGATTTACAGTGATTATTCTGCTTAGCAGTGTGATGAATTTCAACATCTGTTGTTGTTTCCTGCATCTGTAAGCCCTGATTAGACAAAAGCTTGTGTTTTGGAGCATCCACTTCCCAAAAGCACGAGCCTGGCATGGCTAACTGATGCAAGCTCTGTCCAGACTCAGCAGGGATCGGTTTCAGAGGGTAGTGTAAATGGGGCTGTAGACTCAGACTTGGAAGGAGCTGATTTTCTGAGCTGTGAACTGCCCCATTGCACTGTGTAAATCTTGGCAGCTGGGAGCCAGGAAAACTGTGTCGTCCACAAAAAGCAGAGAGGAATTTAACCTTTTCCAAAATCTGACTTAGGTTGTGCCTTGAAAATCTTTCTGTGAAGATTGTGAACAGGACCATAAACAAAAGGGCAGTCCTGCTGGATTCCAAAATGAACTGGGAACAGGTCTGACTTAATGCCATTGCGGACTAAACTCCTGCTCCACTTGTACCACTTTACCTATGTGTAAATACTTGATATTGGATGGCCTCTAGAAGAGGGACTCGACTCCGTACTCCAGGTCCACAAAACAGTATGGGTCGACTAGTTAAGCAAACCTCACAAACCCTTGAGCACGCTACAGAGGGTCTAGTGCTGATCCAGTGTTCCCAGAATGGGAAGGGCACTGTCCCTGACTGACACACAATGTTAAAGAGGGGTGTAATCCATTATAGCCTACAGATATCCAGAGAGCTGCTCAAGACAGATCTCATCCACCCCTGAAGCATTACCACCATGAAGTTTAATAGATAAACAAGTCTGACTCCAAACACCCGGTCTCTGTTTCCACCAGGGAATATGTGACAGATGGGTCGAGGAGATCCTTGAAGTAATGCTTCCATTTTCTTACAATGTCCTCAGTCACAATGAGCAGCTCCCCCCTCCTTCTTTAAGAAGTTCTAGCAAAGCATTAATTCCAGATCTAGAGGCACCATTTGGTTCACCAAAGTACTATTGTGACTAACTGTGAGTCTTTTGGAGTAGAAATTAGGATTTTTATTTGATCCAGTACTGACAAAGGTGCTGCAAATCGCTGGGGCTGAAACCCTTCCCGTAAAATAGAGAATTACCCTTTAATTGGCAATTGGTTGTTGAATTGTTCAAAACGGAATCGTGATGTGTAATAGCAAGTTTATCCTAAAGGCTCTTTCTTACCTGTTGTGATCGCAGGGAGTAGTACGGGGAGAAAACGTGTACTGCAACAGAAAGTATATCACACAAAGTCAGGTAATAAAGTGAATGAAAAACCACTTGCCATACACTCTTAAAGTGGTCATAGAATGCAAAACCAAGTTTCCATTGTCATAGATGAAAAACGATAGTTCAGTGGGTGAAATGGACGTACAGAGAAGTTCAAACCCCATCGACACCTCCTTTCTCTGCAAATCTGACTTCTAAACTTAAAACCATAAAAAGGGCAAATTCAAACGAAGCACCGAATTGATGTCAATTTGGGGAAGTTGCCTTATTTGGTTGCCCCGACATTGACATGCAGACCAGCCCACTGGTTCACAGTCCAAGAACATGAATAGAGGTAGATGTAAAACACCTGTTTGGCTGACAGTTGGGTTTACTTCTACAAGAATTACAAAGCAGGCTGTTTCTCTATTGAAAATTAGCCAGAACCACAGGCGTAAATGCAGTGTTCCAGGCTGCATGGAGGAAGGGGAAATTTCTTCTTCACATGTCTTCACAAGGATCCGAAGACTCGACAGGCATGGATTATTTTTGTCAATCTGAAGATCCCTGCAAACTTTGATGCTCAGCTGGTTCTTTGCGCTAAGCATATTACGGAAGATAGCTTTCAAAATCTTGGACAGTTCAAAGCAGGATTGCTAAACTTCTTTTACTGAGACGACCGGACCCAACCCGGTGACGGTATGCTTCCCCCTGCCTGCCTTACAGTGCTTCTCCCCCGCCACTTGTTTATAATTTGGTAGTTACTTATTTAAATCCTGTTCTGTAACAGAGTGCAGATACAATTTGTAGTGAAAGTGGTTTCTCTGTTTATCGTCATAGACCTGGGTTTCAGCGGCTTCCTGGGCACCTTTTGCTCTGGTCACAAGACAAAGCTATCTGTCGCTGTCAAGAACGTCATTAGTAAGTAAAATGTAGCGCTTACAAAACTGACAAGAGAAGGCGCTGATTTTATTGAAGCATCAGACTTGCTCGCCATCAACCAAAACCTGATCTTAGCTGACTTATAAAGTCCTAGTTATAGTTTTTATGCCATGCTTTAAAAACCACTCACTAACAATTAGAAACAAAAAGACAAACAGGTAGAATTTACCTTCCTCCCACAGCAGTAGCCCAGGGACCGCATAGCATAATCGATCTCAAACTCAAACACCTCGGCCAGTTTGGTGCAGTACTTGTAGACCCGAGACGTCTTTGGATTGTACAGCCAGGCGTTGTTAAACATCAGCCAGACGTCTTCGACATACTGCCATGGCTCCTTGTACTGCCCTGTGTCCAACTTTTTAAAAATGGTCGACAGATCCATGGGGTTCTTGATGATGTCGAAGTAGTCCTGGATTGGGATGGTTGTCCATGTTAGGTCAGGTTGAGTGGTCAAGCAAAAGGATTAAAAAAACATCGACATAAGTTGGTGGCAGGAATCATCGTCATCATTGACACAGAAGACGGCATTGTAGGCAACCGACAGGACCAGAGTAGGGAGAGAAGAGAGTGCAGGAGGACAGTATTGTTTAGGACTGTAAAGAAGAAGGTTCATATGCAAACAGAGAGATATGACAACTTCTGCCCTCCAGCTCTCGGGCTGATTTGAAGTGCACCCAACACTTCAAATCTACCCATCTACATCAGCCAGAGGACCAGTCTGCCCAGTTTACAGCTGGTAAAAATCTTTCCAAAGATGCAAGAAGATTTTACAAGATCATGCTGCAGCTGGAGCAGAGCATGTCATTATAAATCTCTATTAATTGGTCATAAACAGTAGATTTAAACAATTTGCTACACAGCTGGATGGATTCATTTCTGCTAAAACCTGAAAGCAAACAAAACTTCAATGATAAGCAACTGACCAGGGTGCAAAGCCATGAAAAACAGAGCAACGTTAGTGGCAATGAGAGGCAGCATTCAGCCCAACAGTCTTGAGATGAAGCAAATACATCAATGTCGCGAAGCTTCTTTAGATCTGGGATACAAGTCTACTTGAAACCGATCTGATCCACTGGAGCTCTGGCAGCATGGTAAAGGTCATTGCTATACTAGCAGGTAAACCTCCACCACAGCTTTAAGTATTTTGTAGCATTTAGAAAAGTTATCTACCATCAACTTTGGCACTGAGCCTGGGATCTCTGCTGATCCTCCAGAGGTTACAAAGGTATCTTAATGCTTCTGACCAAGGAATCCTTGGCTGGTCCCACCATGTAGGCGGATGGACATCTCTAAAAAAAGATCAAATCTATGTATATTTTTTTACTTTCATTGTCAAAAGATAATGTAGTATATGACATCCATAAGATCATCTGTAAGGTGATCTTATGGATCATCTAGTTTGCATCATTTGCCACCAAGTCTGAGGAAAATACTACCTTTATGGTAAACAACATAAGGGTTGAGTTTTTGTGGTGTTTCGTAATCTCTGACCTGAACACAGTAAATCCTGTACTGATGAGGATTAGAAAGCTTGAAAATGTAAATGAGGATGAACGAGATGATAAAACAATGAAAAGCAGCAAAATAATAAAGAATGAAAAATAAAAGCATCTTGCCCAGGAACAGTAAGTCTTGATTCCAATTTGTTTGACTTCATTCTAGTCAATTAGAATAATGTGTGCGGCAAACTGTAGATAACTGATTATTAAGATTTTTGTTTTTTCCAGCATCTTTCAAGAAGAAAAATCTGTTTTTGAAGCACATAAGCCTAAATATAATTAATTTTACTTTAAGCATTCAGGACAAAAAAACAACAACAACGTATTAGCAGCAAAAATAAATAAATACCTAATTGAACAATAAGGTAATTGTAGGAGGGAAAAATGTGCAATATAAACAAAGATTAAAGGTATGCTGGGATGGAGTGGAAGCTAAATGGCAGCCAGAGCAGCTCTTACCAGGTTAGTTTTGTTAATAATTCAAATACATACAGGAATTCCCAGAAACTCTGGGTTCACAGGCGTACGGAAAGGAAGGCACTCAGGGTCCTGTTGGTACAAAGCCTCCAAGGTTGGCATCAAAGCCCCAAGCAGCTCCTCTTGGTCAAAAACTGGAGAAAAAAATGTTATTTTCAAAAAGGCCATCTCCAATGCTCCAGGACAGTATAATACACATATAATAGAGGAACAGCTGAACCAGGGTTTAGAGCTACAGGCCTGCAATGTTTGGCTCCCACAAAAAAAGCTGTGGAATAACTCCTAAAATTAATTTGTATATCCCTCCCTAACAGAGGTACAAGTTTTAAATCCAGAAAAATACTGTTGTGCTTCTAAGAAACAAAGACTGGGCTGCGTTAAGAGTTAAACAAATGAAGACAAGCAGAAAAGCAGCTTATTCCCTTTTAAATACAGTTATAATGGTCTGTAATGTCATGGGCCTACCTTACTTCAAAAGAAATTAGAAATTCTGGCATGATGAACTCTTTCAGATAAAAGCACAGTTTTAATAAATTATAAAGAGTTAATCTTTTTAAAAACAAAACCATTGATCAGTGGCCTGCGTTAAAATATTCTGATCCATTTTTGCCATTATGACAGTAAAGGTTCCTCTTTTTCTCTGATTTAAATGGTGAATTGCAACCAGTGTTTTAGGTGCATTTCATACAGGACATGTATGTCATGTTACATTATAAAACAAACAAAACAAAAACTTGAAAAATTGGGATTAGACCTTTATCTTTTTGAATCATAAACAATGCTCTGCACCCTTTATTCTTTTATGAATACTCAATATTCCTTCCAGGTCCTCCTCCAAAGTCCTATCATGCCGGATACTCCTCTCAGAATCCAATTTAATACACCTCAGGATATTATGTTCTTCCTCCTCAGGGATGCTGCAGACATAACATTTAAAGATATAAATTTATTAAAAAAAGAGTTGATTTTTATCCACTATGCCCCAATTTTAAGCGTGAGAAGACTAATTCCTCTCTTCTGCAGTTTCCTTTTTTTTACACTGTCATCATTATTGATTTCTGCATTCTTCAGCAAGGTCCTCCTTTAGCATCAGTGTCCAGTCTCTCCATTGTCCTGCACCTTTTAGATGTGTTTCTGGTTCAACACACCTGAGTTAAACTTTCAGGTTATTAACAGGACTGAGGGATTGCAATGGAAACTAAGCAGGTAATTCTAAGCACACCTCTGAATCTTCCAGCGCTGTGATGGGCGACTCCAGCCCTCATGTGCCGGTGTCCTGCAGCTTAAGGATATGTCCTTGGTCCAGCATACCAGAATCAAACAGCTGAATAAGATCCCCAGGATTTAGGCTCTCCGGAATCCTGGTAATCATCTAACTATTTTAGTCAGGTGTGTTGGAACAGAGACATATCTAAAAGGCTTCTTCAGGAATGAAGAAAGAGGCTGGTGGTAGTGTTTTTTTGGGGGGATACTGGGATACATGGAAATGAGATTTTGGAAAAGATAGCCAAGTCAGCTAAACATTGTGGTAATACTAATAAGGAAACAAATTTTAGTAGATAAGAGATTAAAATCAAACAGAAACTAAAAACAAATTCTAAGAAAATGGGAAGATGTAAAAAGAGGGTAATGAAATAACACAGACAGAGAAGGTGAAATGTAAAGTGGGCGGAGTAGGGAAGAAGCAGGAACTGTGAAGTTGTCATTTCTGCAAAATGTAACCAGACCCTACACCTTTAGAACTTTATCTCTCTTAATTTGCACCTCTTTATAACCATTGCTGTCTCTCTCCATTGATTATAGCCGCTCTGAGCATGTATCACCAGGGTATGTAAACAATAGCAGGATCCACCCACCTGAACAGAATGTGCTGATGACATCATCATAGTTTTACAAAGGCAGATTACTTGCTTCAGTACATTTTTGTAATTGAGTTCCTTGAATCATTCGATAAATCACGAAAGCCCTAATATGTTGTGAGAAATAGAAACTGAACAAACCCCTTGAGGTCGGTTTCCTCATCACTGACTCTCCCGGAGGGCCTTTACTGGACATGCTGGCCTGTGGCGTCTGCTTCTGGTCGCTCTGGTGTGTAAGATCTCACTTAGCCTGGCCTGTCTCTAAGGAGCTGGGGTCAGTCTGGTTCATGGTTCAGGCCAGGAGTGCTCGGCTGCCTAACTGACTGTGCTCCGAGTAAAAGCTGCACTCCCTGTTGACAGCAACAACACGGGGGAGGGAGCGGAAATGAATGATTTTACACAGCCAATTGGAGAGGAAGGGCAAGCATTCAGGAAGTTGTGTGTCGACTAGCGGAGGCACTGAGAAACTGAAACTAGGGGCAAAAACACATAGCCTATGAGATCTGTAAATGTGAAAGTGAAAAATGTAAATGGTTCATTTCATAAGGATAGCAGAGAATGTTTAGAAGATGTTAAAATAAATACATAAAAGACAGAAACTTAAGTTCTGCTATGAGTCACTCTAAAACTACACTTATGAAAGCAGAAGAAAACTAAAATTCCAGAAGAAACACCTACTGAGAAGAGAATACCCCATTTATATATGAAGGCTAGATGAGAAAAGACCCTGAACAACTTTAACAAACTCTTCCCTTACATACAAACTTCACTGCATAAAACCAAAGTACCTGATGCATTACAATAATTGCAGTAATCTGTTCTCCAAAGATTTTTGTTTGAGGATGTTATGCAGTTGTGTAACTTTATCATGTTATTTAAAAACTCTTGATTAAACAACTGCAAGTTAACTAAACTAATCAGGTACATAAATGAAAATCATTAAAATCTTTAATCAATAGAATGAGGAAATACTATCATTGTTTGGTATGAATGTTATGTTAAAGAACCAAATTTTATATTGAAGAGTTTGGAAAGAGATCAAATTAGCTTTTAAACGGAAATGTTCAAGCCAGTTCAAAATGCAAAACATGATTTGTTAAGATAATACTTCAGTAAATGATTTACCTTAATCAGAAATCAATAACCTTTTAGATAATTGATTCTTAACCTTCTCTGACTGTTCCTGAGGGAATATTTAAGAGAGGGCAAGGTTCAGCAAGGTTGTTTTAAGACAACTGACAAATGGCAAGACGTCAGGCATAACTAGATTTGTGTTCTCTTGGTATACTAAACAGTTGTAATGGTTACATACTGCATCTAATTATGTGTGAGTCCTACAAAGGTTAGTGAGCGGAGCCAAAAATGTTATTGAAGAATGGTTCAGATTGTGAACTTCACATAATCCAGCCAATCTTTTGTGGCTATTTGTATATGTTTCTCCTTTTTTTTTTCCTCTGATCATTGTACTTGTACAATGATCAGAGTACCACCTTTCTCCAGCAGAGTCCGCCGTGGATCCTCCTGAGCCGAGCCTGCGACGCACCTGTGGCTCGTTCCATCATCAGAGGATCCACACTATAAAAGCTGTCTTCAGACCTTGCCTCGACGCCGCAGTGTTGAATCTCGTTGGTTAGCACCTGAGCCAAAGAACCCTCTGAGAAATCTAATTGTTCATTGAGTCCTGCTAGGATTCTAATTCTTTGTGTCTCTGTTTCCAGGAAACCAGTTTTCTCCGTAAGCTCTGGATGAGCTTAGGCTGCCGAGCCTGCCCTCTGAGCCAAACCCGAAGACTCATCTCTGGATTCCCATGCAGCTCTGGATCAAGAGCTGGAAACCAATAACCAAGGTCTGCACCCTCATCAGAAGTAAGACGCTGAAGCAGTATTCGGACTCTGCTGAAACAAACCTTCTCTGGACCCAACTACTCCTCTCTCTAAGTTCAAACCGGAACCCTCAAGGTACAAGTCTGAACATCTCAAAACCAAACCCCATTGATCCCAAGCTAACTGCTCTGTTATCTACACAGACTCCAGTGAACCAGTCCCCAGGCCTGAACCAGTTCCAGTCATATTTCCATGTGCTTGTGACAATAAACTCTGTTAAACTTTTACTATTGTTTCCGTCTCCGCGGTGTTCTGCATAACTGGGTCTCCTCAGTGAACCCACCATGACACCTAAGACACCATCTACAACTCTGCTGGGGGAAGACCAAAGCACTCCTAGTCCCTCCATTATGTCCTGGGCCTCCTCTAGGTGCAATGCCTAGAACACCTCTCCAGGGAGGTGTCTTGGGGGCATCCAAAAAAGATATCCACACCACCTCAGGTGAATACCTTTGAAATGGAGGAGAAGCAGCTCTACACTGAGACCTTCCTGAATAACATAGCTCCTCACCAAATCTCTATAGGAGAGCTCAGCCACCTTGCAACCCGAAAGGGACAAGCCACCTTTTTCCGGTCGAAAAAACATGGCCTCAGACTTGCAGGAGCTGATTCTCCTCCCGGCTGCTTTACATTCTCCAGCAGAACCGAGTCATCCGCGAAACCAGGGGCGAGATCCCGAAACCAGACGCCCTCCAGTCCTTGGCTGCACCTAGAAATCCTTACCATAAAGGTTTTAAACATGACCTGTAAAGAGGAGTCCAACATGCACCAGGAACAGGTCTGACTTGTAGTCGGCACTGCGAACGAAACTTCTGCTCCACTTGCACAGAGACCGTATGGCCCCTAGTAAAGGTCCACAAAGCCCATATGGATTGATTGGGCAAACTCCCATGAGCCCTTGAGCACCTTGCAGAGGGTGTAGAGACGGTCACCTGTTCTATGCCTAGGACAAAAACCATACTTGACTATTAGCCAGACTCTCCTTTCCAGCACTTGGCATAGGCCTTAACGGGATGGTTGAAGAGTGTTACTTCCATACTGCTGAAACCAAAACCTCTGGTCCCCTTTCTTATGCAGAGGAGGCCAACTGTCTTTTTCCATGGGCTCTCCAACTCCTCTCAGGCCAGAGTTTTGGCCTCTGCAACCACCTGGGCAGCGGCACGCTTGGCCTCAGCATACCTGCTTGCTGGATCAGGAGTCATATAAGCCAACCAGGCTCAATAGGGTGGCTGCATCTACAATAGAGGAAGGGAACATGGCCATCCAGACTCAATGTCTCCAACCTCCCCCGGAATCTGGAAGCGCATCCAGCTCACCACCAGGTGCTAGTCAGTGGAGTGCTCCGCGCCTCTCTTTACCTGAGTATCAAAGACATGCGGCTGAAGATATGACTAAAAATCACCTACCTCTACCTTAGGGTGTTCTGTTGCCAGGTAGTGCGCCCACTGAGGGGCAGCCTTGTGTAACTCCTCCGGCATATCACACATATGCAAAGCAGGGTCACAAGGGGTGCTGGTGCCTATCTCCAGCTGTGTACAGGCAAGAGGCGGGGTACACCCTGGACAAGTCACCAGTCCATCGCAGGGCAAAACAGAGACAAACAACCATTCACACACACTCACACCTAAGGAGAATTTAGAGAAGCCAATTAACCTAACAGTCATTCTTTGGACTGTGAGAGGAAGCCAGAGTACCCAGAGGGAACCTGTGTATACTTAGGGAGAACATGCAAACTCCATGCAGAAAGACCTTGGGCCAGAATTTGAACCCAGAACCTTCTTGCTGCAAGGCAGAACTGTGCCACTGAGCAGCCCTAATTTTCCTTAATTTTTAAATCTTCCAGAATCTTTCTCTGTTGCTCTGTGCTTTAAGTAAAACAGTAAAATTACAGATTAGATGCTTAAAGCAGATCTGCTTCGCCTATTTAATGCTTTACAATGTGTTATGTTTAGCGCTGAATAAGTTACGACAAGCTTCAATTCAGGCTAAATAGTTCTATTTTTTGCTTCAATCAAACATTGTGGGGGATTTCTGCATATTGTGGCATGGTGAGAGGACACTTCAGGTAAGTTACTTTCATTTTTGAAAAACATGCTGTGTCGAAAGGGACAGACAAACCCCTGTTTTTCTTCCCTTTCAGTACCAATCTAAGACCTTGGCTGTTTTTTAATAAGAAACAGCCTGAAAAATACTTTGTTGTTTCATCAAAATAATTATTTTTTTATTTCAAGCAATCTGCTGGAGTAAAAACTATGAAGCAAAAGAGTCTTGAGAGACATAAAGTTGTATTCAAAATGGATGCTCTGCTTAATTCATGAATACGTTTCTGCTCTTTAATCAATATGGTGATTGTCCTTGAAGTGTGAAGAATCTCTTTTTAATGTGTTTTATATCCAATGTACTTCTTTCTTCCAGATCCTACGGTGTTTTTCTACTTTTAGTTTTGTTTAGCCAGGAACCGTAGAGACAGGGTCTTAGTAGACGACTCCGGAAAGAAAAGTGTGTTTTCTGGTTACTTTTCTTTCAGTTAAATCAACCAGATCTTTCAAAGGTAAATCATTTTGAAACCTATTAGGTACAACAGCACAGGGAGTTAGTACATTTTTCAGAGTTTGATACGTCAGCTCTCGGTTTAAAGCCTGGCATTACAATTAATTAACAAGGAGTGATGCATCTGTCAGGTTTTTAGTAAAGATCTTTAGGATTTCTTTCTCTGAAGAGTGGTATTAGTAAAGAGGTTAGCCTTCTTCCTTATTTCGTCTTAAACTTGAACACTTTCCCAATGTTGAAAAAGTTAAACCAAAAGTTATTAATTATTCAGACAGATTTATGCTTAAAGATTTTTTTATTTATTTAAATGTTTTTTTTTTTGACTGGAAGTAATGTTTTTTTGTTTTTGCTACATAAAGATTATATAAATGCTACAACCAAATTCATCTAAAGGCCTAAAATTGTGTTGACTCGATTGTATTAATTTTTCTTCTATTGCAAAAGCAAACAATTTCATCAATTAAAGAATTGGATAATGAATGTGAAACTGTTTTCATGTCTTTGTATGTCTGTAAAACATCTGTAAGTAGTTTTTTAAGTCACACTATGAAGAATTGAGCCAAAAATAATCCAAAGTGTAAAATCCATGCTTCAGTGAGATTTCCAGACCATCTGTGAACTACTGCGTTCGTCTTGCAACTCTAAAGAACAAAATGGCAAAGCAATTGGCAAAATAAAAAAAATAAAAAATTGTGTTTTTCATTAAGTGTTTCTTATTTTTCGTATCTCAACACTGGGAACAGAAAGTTGAATTGGGGGGTGGTGGCCTAGTGGTTAGAGCATTGCCCTTGGGTCCTATAGGTTCTGAGTTCAACTCCCATAGACTGCCACGCTGTCTCCCTGAGCGAAACCCTTAACCCCAGACTGCTCCCTGGGCGTGGCACAGTGGCAGCTCACTGCTCCCCAAGGGGATGGGTTAAATGCAGAGGTAAATTCCTCCAGTGTGAGATCAATAAA